TAAAATCTGATCTCCAGAAAATGTACCACAATAGGGCACTGAAAGGATCTTTTGAGAAACTCTCTAGGCTTTTTTCCTGGCCTTCCTGAAGATGCTAGTTTTTGTTTTATTTTTCATGGGGGAGAAATCAACTGTATGGAAAACTGCAGTCAAGCAATATTGCCACCTGATGGGTGACTTGTTTTGAAAGTCCGTGAACACATTTTTTAAAATAAAAAGCCCTGATGATAAATAACATGATTTGCTCTGTTTGGACACACTAACATTTAATGTGCAGGAACCTGGTGTTGGCATTCATCTGTCTTGGAAGACAATGCCAGGCCAAGGGTGGGCCTTTGGGGGAAATGCCACCAGAAACTGGATCTCCTAATCAGCACCTTCACCAAACCTGATGCTGGAATTGCGTTTTTCCTTTCATGCGCTCTCACATAAGAGCTATGTGCATGAACAAGTCAACTAAGGGGGCAGCACATCGAAATACAAAAGGAATATCCTATTTTTGAATACTCGACCACTAGTCTTTAAAAAAATAAAAATAACAAAATCTGCAGAGAGTAAAGTTGCTCATCCGGCTGAGCCAACTCCCCTCCCTTTGCCAATTCATTTCCACTGCATCAAAAACACGACAAACCTCCCACTTCCACCATTCGTCCTCCACCTTATTCTGTATAATGGGGAGGCCTTTTGCTCTGAGTCTTCTCACAAATGAACTGGGAATCTTGAATCGAACTTGCCAGCGCCTTCTGCTGCACTGGTGTGATTTGACTTGAGCCTTTTATACTTCAGAGTCTGTCAAATCACTAATAATTAGATCCTGGGAGAGCAAGTCACACTGCAAATGGACAGAAATGGCTTCAGAACCACGGCTAAGTCAATTTCTAGCCCTGATCAGGCGATCCCAGAAGCAATGCAAGGAAAGCAGCTGTCGAAATGTTGCAGACATCCATGCCTAGTTTCAAATGCTAGCATTCTGCAGTGGTGGTTGTGAGGATATGGGAAGAATAATTTTAATGACAAAAACTAGTTTTATTTTGTATGGCAAAATGAATATATTCAGATTTACGATTTGCATGATTAATTCCAACTAGAATTTTATTACCTTTGTACAAAATTTAGATTTAACTCCTCATTCCCTGTATATGTACATTCCTGTCTCTGAGGTACATTATCTACAAAATAACTTTCATTGAACTCAGTGGATTTTTGTTTAAACAAACTAAACTTAAAGGATACCTTCTCAGTTTCACACTTCCTGTTCCTTTTAGTGAATTGTGCCCCTTTATTGAAATACCAGAATTGAAGTTCGCCAGAAGCGGCTTAGTCATGCTGGCCACATGACCCGGAAGCCATACGCCAGCTCCCTCAGCCAATAAAGCGAGATGAAGGCCGCAACCCCAGTGTCGGTCACAACTGGACCTAATGGTCAGGGGTCCCTTTACCTTTACTATTTAAATACTAGATTGGCATCCATCAAAATTTAAGTCCTTTTCATTCCCACTAATTTCAGCAGAATTAAGCAAGACTATATATGACTTTTTTTTAGAAAACATCAACAGAGCAGAACAGCATCTGGCTGCAAACAGGGAGTTCTTAATCTGCAGTCATTGCACAACTCTTGGTTTGCACCAGATTTGTCTAGAATGTAAGCCAAGTTATCTGCCCCCAAAATTGGGAAATAGCTTGCCTCATTTCTGAACTTGGGCTGTCCTTTGTCTCCACTGTAACCCCATTAGACATGTTAGTACAGTTAAGTAGTGTATAAATTTTGTTAAATAAAATAAAATAATAAGCCCCCAAATCCCTCCCACCCAACCAGTCACTGGGTACGAGGCAGGACTTTATGGTGTATGTCAGTCCACCACAAAGATGCAAGATCCTGGTAGCCCTTGGGAAATGTAATTTCCCCAAGGGCAGCTGAAACCTTACATTTATTGTACTGCTCTACTCTGCTTCCTGGAACAAGAAGGAACCATGCAGTCTTAATTTTTTTTGCTGTAACTTCTGAAACCTCCGTGAGAAAAATCTTCACTTATTTGCAAAGCTAACTGTCTGTGATTTATTCTAGCCCAAGTATTTTTGTGAGGAACATTTGCTTAAATGTGGTTGAGGGTAGATGCAAATCTAACCAGGTTTTAATTTGCTTGGAGCAATCTCCATGTTGCTAAATCTGTTATGAGAGACTAAGAATCTTTCTTCTAAACCTCACTCTCCAATACAGTTGGGTGGATGGGTGAGAAGGGAAGTGGGTGCTCCACAGGTGAAGGGGCCTTAAATGTGAATTCTTCTCCAGTTGGAATTTAATTATGAAATATCCAGGGCTCTCAATACTCCTCTCTTTGTTGAGACGAGTCCTTGAAATTCATATCCAAACACCAGGGATATGTGTTTTGTTGGTATCTCTTATCCTTTGGAGACATCCTCTTTGCTAACCTTGGAGATTGTGCACATGAAATAACAAAAGCAGATTGCCAGTGGTGAACAGTGAAGACACTTTTTTGCAGCACAGATATCACTTTTCGTCCATGAAGGCAAAACTCTGGACTTCTTAGATGAGCTACAGTTGAGGCTGTTTGTCAATAGAAAAAGCGTCTTGACCATTTTACAGGATTTCCTACCAATTTAAAGCCTGCAGATCCCCCTCCTTTGCCTCACAATCACATGGGTGGGAAGGAGAAGAAAGAGAAGAAAACTACAGCAACAAACAACCTTGTTTCTCCTTCTTTTGGTGTTAAATTTTAATTTTCTCTCCTTTAAATTTCTTAGCACTCTCTTTTAAATAATGCTAAGTGTTTCTAAATTATACATAGGCCTGCAAGTGCCATCATTATAAATTCTGCTTTAAGGAAAAAGGTAAGTACAGTCATGCATTATTAAAGTGCCCTATATAAATATTACCATACTTGATTTACTTTGAGGGCTAACACACCAATCTTGCAATTTAATGAAACAGGATCAAGGACAAAAAACAACAACCAGTGCTCCCCCCAATATACATACCTCACCCAGAATATATGGTGTGTGTAAGTGCTTAAGCTTGCTTCTGGCATGATCAGGGGCACAATCTACCAGACAGGGGTGCTATGCATCTAGCGGGAAGCTGGTATCAGCCCCACCAGAGTGGACAGAATGAGAAGCTGGATCCGGGGGAACCCAAGAGAACAAAAATGGAAGAATACTCCTCCTGCTTGTGACCCAGGCTCAATCTCAACACAGAAATGTAAGAGTCCTACTGGAGCAGACAAAGCCCTGTCTAGTCCAGCATTCTGTTTCCATAGTGACCAACCAAATGCCAATGATGATGATGCTTTTTCCAGAAAAGTAGAACTCAAAATGACTTTCCACCAGGGCATGAGGACAATAGCCCTCTCCCGCCAATTCCCTCCTATTCAGAGGTGTCCTGTCTCAGATATTAGAGGCACTAAATAGCCATCATGACTAATAACCACTTTTACCCTCCATGAATTTGTCCAGTCCCATTTTAAAGCCATCTAAGTCGCTGGCCACCACTAAATCTCCCAGGAGCAAATGCTGTCGTTCAACTGGGCACTATGTGCAGAAGTGCTTCCTTTTGTCTGTTCTTAATCAGGCATTCATCTTCACTGCCTGACCCTGGGTTCAAGTATTATGAGAAAAAAAGAGCGAGTCTTCTCTCTGCCCACTTTTTCCATTTTATTTCTAGGTCCACAATATCGTTTTTGAGTTCCACATCCTGTTTCCCACAGCAGTCAGCCAAAGCAACTCTGGACAGTCAGTATTTTGCAGGAGGAAATATATGCACATGCCGGGAAATTCGAGGTTGCGCAATTAAAGCAGATGAAAGTGCTCTCTCACACTAGTGCTCTCTCACACATCTGACCGGATGTGATGCAAGTCAACTGCTCCCTAGTTCTCAGATAATCCTCCTTCCTTAGCTGATCTGTGCAGATCAGGGTGTGTGTGTGTGTGTGTGTGAGAGAGAGAGAGAGAGAGAGAGAGAGAGAGAGAGAGACCACCAGGCCCATACACAGCTTTTCTGAGGTGCAGGGCAGAAGTCCCTGGTCAGCTGGGAGGCACGGGGCATTCTTGGCATGACAGCATAAGCTGGCGTAGCCCTCTGAGGCCAACAGCAGGTGTACCTGGCTCTCCCTACCATCTGTACAGGCCTGCCTACCACTGGCATGTTGATCAAAGTGCTCGGCCCCACCCTGAGGATTGGGCAAATGTGGTTCTAGGTCCCAAAAAGGTTAGCCACCCCTAATTTCAGCAATATATGGTATCTATGTGGGGGTTTTCCTTGGAGTGCATGGCTGAAGAGTATCTTTGGGCAAACCACAGGGATTCTGAAGAGGAACAGGAGTAGGGTTTGTGACAAGGACAGTGAACCTGCTCTTCCCTTGCCTACACTCATGTTTATGTGCCCAGGCAGAACAGTGAACCAGAAAGCCACTTACCTAGTTATGTGGCCAGGAAGGGTAAAGCAGGTGTCTTGATTGACAGCACACTAACATGTGGTTGACACTGTCAGAGATGGCAACTCTGGTCAATGGTTAGTCAGTGTATATTGGTCCATGTGCATCACATTTGTACTGCCCAGTATTTGGGTGCAGGGGGCTTTTCTTTTTCCTGAGCTCTTCTTTTCCACAGCTGAATCTTCTTTGTGCTAACAGATCACTCTCACTGCATTGTGACATAAGGACAGAGGCCCATTTCATAAAATGCAAGAGCTTCACATGTATCACTGTGTGCACAATCGTCGCCTACACTCATCACATCACTGCCTGCCCCCATGTGCTTTTTTTGAGTGGGAAGAGTTATGTGAACTTGGCTATCTCTGCAAAGCCCTCGTGCCACATGTTCAGGAGCTGTGAGATGAAGGGCTTGGGTGCATAGTTACTCCTACACCACAGAAAATGTTTTCAGAGTCCTCTGAAACCTTAAAGACCAGCTCAGTATGTGTTCAGTGGGAAAAAGCCATCATGTGTCTTACTTTAGGCTTTTCTAACCATTTTTCATCTCTCTAGAGACTTGATGGAAGATCTGGCCGGCTTGCGCCTCCCTCGCCCATGGGATGGCATTTCATATTGCCACACGATGCGCTGGAAGGAATGAAGGTCACTAGCACTCCTGCAGATGCTTCTTAGAGCTGTCAAAACAGGACCAACAAAGATGTTTGCAAAGCTCCATGTGCTTGCGCTGGCTTTATTTTCCAAAGGAGGCTTCCTTTCTCTAGGTGACCACAACTTTATGAGGAAAGAAATTAAGATTGAAGGAGACCTGGTTTTGGGTGGTCTGTTCCCTATTAAGGAAAAGGGCAGTGGAGCAGAAGAATGTGGGAGAATCAATGAAGACCGAGGTATCCAGCGTTTGGAGGCAATGTTGTTTGCAATTGATGAGATCAACAGAGACAGCTCCTTGCTCCCAGGAATTAAGCTTGGAGTTCACATTTTGGACACTTGCTCCCGGGACACGTATGCATTAGAACAGTCCCTGGAGTTTGTCAGGGCTTCTTTGACTAAAGTGGATGAAGCCGAATATATGTGTCCTGATGGGTCGTATGCGATTCAAGAAAACATCCCACTACTCATTGCAGGAGTCATTGGAGGTTCTTACAGCAGCGTCTCCATACAGGTGAGATATCTTAACTCTTAAGAACAAGTTTTCCATCTCAGTGTCCTTTTACCTACTCTACAGAATCCAATGGGGAAACATGAGCCCATGTGGGTGTCAGGGAAGAACCAGACATGTGGGTCATGCTACCCAGCTGAGGTTCATCCCAAAAGGAGCTGGAAAGTGTAGCAGCTCCTGTCAGGCAGAGCCACCTGAATTACACTCAGCTAGCAGGCAGAAAAGGACAGCTGGATAACCAGGGCTGCAAAGGATGGGTGGTGTGTGGCTTTGGGTATTAAAGGGCAGAGAAACCACAAGAATGAAAGGGAGTTTGAGAGACTTGCTGATGAAGATTGGTGATCATCATTTGACCACAGAGGATAACCCTGAAGCATGATGTTCACTGGCAGGAGCAGGAATTCATCTCCTTTCCTTCACTAGCTTGAGGCCAGAATTAGGATTAGTGGAAGAGAGGGCATTCTCCTTCCAAAAGCCCAGGAATTGCCTTCACATGTGGTGGACCAAGCTGAGTTCAATTCTGCTATGGATGACTTTGACATAAGAATACTGAGTTCAGTTTGGAAATGTCTTCTCTAGTCAAACTTGGATCGATGTGAGATGTTGTGTTTACCCTAACTCAGTAGTGGAGCACATGCTTGACATGCACAGAGTCCTAAGTTCAACCCCTGGCATCTCCAGGCTCTCAGGCAGGCTCTGGATTTAAAAAATCCTGCACTTGAGAACATGGTGAGCCACTGCCAATCAGCGTTGGCAATACTGGGGTAAGGGTAGGCCAATGATCTGATTCAGTATGGGGTCACTTCAAATATTAGAGGGGGGTCACCTCTGGCCTGGAGACCAAATGTCGTCCTCCTGGCCTCTCTATTTGGTCCTCTCCCCAAGAGACAGCCCTCACTCGCTTGGCTCTTTGAGCTCTTTTGCCTGGCTGGAACGTGTCCTTGAACTGAGACGATGCTTGCCTGGTTCCTAGTTGCTGTGGAAAGCAGCTCTGTGGTGTTTAAATTTGAGTCTTAAACCAACACAGTTGTCTCCAGTTCTGTACATGTACCTGCAGGCCCTCTGATGTCCTTCCCGCATAATCAGCTAGATGGAAACAGAGCCAAGGCTGGAAGTGATGGAGGAACACTGCTGTCCCAGAGATGTCTTGAAATGGGACAATTCTGCTGGTGGAGAGGGCCACCAGCAAAAGCAGAGTGACAGCGAGCCTTGGAGGTAGTGCCTGACAGGGAAGAATAAGGGTGCACTATGCTCCATTTGCCCTCACCACAGGCTATTTGAGAAGACTCTCAAAGAAGGGCCCACTTCAGCTAGATCTTCAAGGTGGACTCTAACTGTTTCCAGACAAAAGGAGGCTTGGGGAGAATAAGTTGCTCCTCTCCAAGAACGTCTGGGTGCTCTGGAGCTGTAAGCAGACTTTCGTTCTCAAAGAATTGTGAGTTTTGGACTCAGTCTAGGGGGCAGGACCTTGCAATATGGAATAATGAAACTTACAAATATATTGGTTTCCTCTTCTAGTGAAACTGGCATAAATCACTTGTGGGACTAATAGTGCCCACCTTAGAATCAAAGAAATGGCATTAAGGAATGTAGACCTTTGGGGTCATCTCATCTAGTTTCCACGGCTAACAGAAGGCTCAGAGTACTGGAGTACATTGTCCAGTTCCAAATGCTCAGGCTCTCCTTCATGACTTGAAATTATAAAGGTGTAACAAGTAATGCATTTTGTACCAGCTATATGTGTTTACAAGCTTCTGACTCAAGCAGACCTTCCTCCTGAGATCAATAGCAAACGGCCTCAGTGCTAGAATGCAGGATTAGGGTCCAGTTGAAAAGATTTTTTTCTGGAAAAGAAATAACAGCTGTGGATCTGAAAGTTTCCTCAAGCACTTGAAACTCAAACTGGGGACAAGGTGACAAAGAACTCAACTGGACAATGCACATAGTAGTAATACCACCCTGCCCATCTGGGGAACTCTATATGCATTCTATGTTCAGTAAGGTTGAAGTGCACTCTATATGCACTCTATGTTCAGTAAGGTTGCCATTCTGTGACCATTCAACATAAAACCATGGTCACAACAAGTCAGGGAGACAGGGTTGATCTGTGCATGCACATTGCTCTGTAGAGCACACACTGAATAGGCAGGGACCTTCCTTGGACAGTGGAGAGGTGAGCAGACACCCTGCCTCCCATGATGCATGTAACATAGCATCTAAGGTTACATGGAGGCGTGACTCTACATCACCAACATATAAGGTTGGCAGAGAAAAAATCTGCACCTGCAATTTCCTGATTGTCAGCTGATTAAAAAACCCCAACTCTTCTAGCAGCAGTGGGAAATCTAAAGCAGACCCACCTGGCCTCACCATTTGGCTCATGAAGCCATGTTAGCCAAGCCACAGCCACCTGTCTTACGTGTCAGGTGTGGGGCAAGTAAAGATCTCTTTGGGTCAAAAAATGGGTTTGGAGGCTCCACTGATCATCTGAACCTGTAGAGACTTGTGTGTGGCATTTTGAAGTTCCAACCACGAGCTGATTTCAGTGCAACAGGCGTTGTGCGTTGTAAGCTTAAGCCTACATGGTTTATTTTCAAACTGTACAGATGAAGGGGGGTCACCTGACAGCACTGTGACATCAGGTGCCCACCTGTCAAATTGGCCTGTTGGGGTGGGAGAGATAAGGATCTGGACTTTTAGCTAGATCCAGATCCCCACCCCTGATTTAGATTATTTATATGCTATTCTTTGCATAAACCACAAATTGGCCTGTTGGGGTGGGAGAGATAAGGATCTGGACTTTTAGCCAGATCCAGATCCCCACCCCTGATTTAGATTATTTAAATGCTATTCTTTGCATAAACCACATTTTACAACAGTGGTCAAATAAAATTAAAAGAATACATAAAATCCATTTAACAACAACAATGCAACAAACCCCTAAATCACAATTACTAATAGGAGCAGCAGGAATGAATTCCTTTGTCTAATCAGGTCTGTCTCCTCCAGTAACCATAAAAGGTGTGTCCTAACCAGTCACCTAAAACTGTATGGAGAGTTGGGGCCAGATGCACCTCAGTGGACCACCACTGATGTGTCCCTTTTAGTCACTATGCTACAATACATCTCTGCTCTAGTGGCATGGTCCTTCCACATGGAAATATCTGTTGATCCTTTTAGATCTATTTGGGCTTTCAGTTACCTCACATGTTTAGAGTTGCCTGAGGGTGAGCATGGCCTTGCTGCCCAGCCCAGCTGCTCCACAGCATCCCAATGCCCAGCCCCACCATCGGCCAAGCATTGAAGGGGGAACGTCTACAGAAGAGACTCAGGAAGCTGCTGCACATAATTTTGAACCCTGGCCATCCTGCATGTTCCTGCTGTGAGCATTGACCTTCCAGAATATGGAGGGTGGCAAAGCCTAGAACGGCAGCATGAGTGGGGCCACCTGAATGCCCAAAGAGAGTTTAAGAATCTTAAATATACACTCCTAAATTAGAAATCAATGGGCCAATGGGTGACAGAGTTGATGGGCATTAGAGCTGAAGTCTCCTGGATCGGGCAATTCCCTCCAGCACCTGATGCCTGGGCTTCCTGTGGTGCTTTGAAGTCCCAAGTTCGGGACTTCAAAGCACCTGTGATGTCAGGCGACTGACAGGTGGGCAGTCATACTGGGTGCACAAAGCAAAAAAAGTTCCCTACGCCTGACATAGGGGATGTCAGGGCTGGTTCAGCAGCAGGTCAGCACTGAGACTCAGAGATGAGCAATAAAGGTGATTCTTTATTCAAGGAAACGGAATTCAAACTGAGAATCCTATGGGCAAGACTGGCCCTGGTAAAGCAGTTGCCAGAACTGACCATCTGAGTCTCGCGCTTCTGCCTGTCTCCTTCCCATCTGGCTCTTTACGCAGCAATCTTAAACTCCATGGGGTGGGGGGGCTGTGCTCCCTGTGCTCTTTGTTCTGCAAAAGCTGCAGGAGATAAGCGGGGAGGGGAGCTCAGTACAGCAGGACTGGCAGGCTCCTCCGACTCTGTTACAGCCTCACCCCCCTCCTTCCCAGCTGCCTCTTCTTCCTCTCTCTCTCACCTGTCAGCACCCCACCATTGTGTTCCCCTTCATCCCCTGACCTGTCTTCCACGCCCACCTCCTCTCCCCTGGCTCTGATCCTCTTCTGAGGCTTCCACAGAGGGTTCTCCCAGGGACGTACCATCACATCAAAACCTCACACTTCCACACATTGGAAGTTTTAGATGTATGCACATCCGAAGAACTCCCTGCTTCTCTGCCACAAATGGAACGTATGAAATTGACTTGCCCTGAGCTAGGTCAGTGGTCTATCTCATAGCCCAGGGTTTTCCTCAATGCAGCTGCTCTCCAAGGTCTCAGGCAGAGAAAGCCTTCCTCCATGTATTGTTAAGATCCTTTAACAGCAGGGTCTTTCTGCGTGCAGAACAGAAGCTCTCCCATTAAGCCATTCGCTCTCTCACTTTGTGTTCTGTTGCGGGTGGGGGTGGGGGTGGCTTGCTTTCATTAATCCCTGGAGTGGGATGATCCATCACCATCACTGTTCCAAAACTGCCTGTCAAAGAGAACAAAGGGAATCAGGGGCATCATATTGCTTAAATATGGGCAGTGGGTGAAGTAGGTTTGAAGCCACCTTCTCTTGAATATCCTTATGAAAATCAGCAGGAAGGCTCCACAGGATGTGTCTTGAGGCTCATAGCTCACCCTCACTGCATGTTGCATGATAAACACTGAGAAAGCAGAGTGATAAGGTGTGCTGAGCTGAGCTATTCCAACAAAGAGCACCTCCGTTTCTGCCTTTGTTGTAATTTGCAGCAATATTTACAATGTCCTGCAAATTCTGTCTGGACAGCTGTCAGTCTGATCCTTTCTTTCTCCTGCCAGATTCTTGCTTCCCTCATCATCTCTCCCACCCCAAAAAAATGGTAAATAAGCAATGAGCATCTTGACACACACAGTCAATAGTAAAAATAAAAATAAAAATCTAAAGAGCATAATCTGGAGCCAATTAAAATCATGTGAGTTTGAAAGAGAGATGGCAGCAACAGTTTGCCTAGAAAGACCAGTGGGGGAATAGCACTGTGTGAATTTAGCTTTGCTAGAGAAGGAGGAATATCATTCTTCTCATGCACCCCTCATTCCTGAGCTCTTCTAATGTAATTCCATTTAATTAGCTGTGCTTTCCTTCCAGATTTTTCATGCCATTTCATTTTGGATGCAATTTGGATTCCCCCAGTCTGGTTTACTAACAATTTCTAATTAGGATTTGATTAATATAGTTCACACTTTTCAGTATCTGCTAACTATCCAACCATGTAAGCATCTCCACCACCTTAGAAGGTATTCCAGTATTCTGAGGTCTAATTGGTCATATAAGGAGTATCGCTTCTCAGTTCTCTAAACTCAACAGCTCCATAAAAGCTGGACACCACAGGGGCATAATGGGGGGGGGGCTGGGGTGTGTGGATCCAGGCACATTTTTGAGAGGGGATACAGCCAGCCAGCCCCCCCCCCCCCCCCGCAGCTCCATAATCAGAGCCTGGCTCCAAATAAACATTAGGAAGAACTTCCTGACAGCAAGAGCTGTTCGACAGTGGAATTTGCTGCCAAGGAGTGTGGTGGAGTCTCCTTCTTTGGAGGTCTTTAAGCAGAGGCTTGACAACCATATGTCAGGAGTGCTCTGATGGTGTTTCCTGCTTGGCAGGGGGTTGGACTCGATGGCCCTTGTGGTCTCTTCCAACTCTATGATTCTATGATTCTATGATTCTAAATGAAACCAGCATATAGGGTGTCAAGAAACGGCCAGACATAGTCTGAAGTACACTTTCCCAACTTGGTGCTCTCAAGAGGTTTGAACCTCCCAGCAGGCCTAGCTGACATTACCAATGTTCAAGGATGCCGGGAGTTCTAATCCAAACCATCCAGAGAGCACCAGATTAGAAAACAATAGTGAAGGCACCTGGTACACCAACAGAAAAAACATTCTAATGGTAAGAGCTGTTTGACAGTACAGACATAGCTATTGGCCACAGTATGTTACCTGAACCGCCAAACCTGGCTGTGATAGCCCTTGGATGGAGAGCAGTTCAGACGTATTGTGAAGAGCTGTTAGACAGTGGAAAGGTCTTCCTCGGGAGATGGTGGACGCTCCTTCCTTGGAGGTCTTTAAGCAGAAGTTGGATGGCCATCTGTCAGGGATGCTTTACTTGAGATTCCTGCATGGCAGGGGGGTAGACATGACCTCCAGGGATCTTCAGGCATCTCCTCCAGGTTCTGCCCAGGCTGTGATCCACCACCTGAGGGCCACAGGCTGAGAGCCCTTTCTTTTCATTCTTCAGCTTATGCCAGAGAACCAAGCCTCAAGCAAGATGTGTGACTTTTATCACCAAATACCCGGGGGAGAGAACAAACAGCAGACAAATGTTCAGATTGAGCTGGTCCAGGTAGAACCCCTATCTCCTATTTCTCCCTGATGTCATGTGCTTTGCTGGGCCTGCTCTTTCAACATCTACACTTTCATAGAATCATAGAATTGTAGAGTTGGAAGAGATCTTGAGGGTCTTCTAGTCCAACCCCCTGCCAAGCAGGAATCTCAACTAGATCATACACAACACAACAGATGGCCACCCAACCTCTGCTTAAAAACCTCCAAGGAAGGAGAGTCCACCACCTCCCAAGGGCGATAGTTCCACTGTTGAACTCTCTGACTGTCAGAAATCTCTCCCTGGTGTTTAGTCAGAATCTCTTTTCTTTTAACTTGAAGCCATTGTTTCGAGCATATCCAAGTGAACAGCAGCTCAGATCTCCCTATTGTAAGGAGTCCCTGCACAACTGGGGTCCCAATCCCATGGGACAGCCTGTGCCTGTGCAGATGTTCTTAGCAGATTCCCTCCAGGAAGCCCCTGTGGTGTGTGGCTGCTGGGGTCCATGCTCGGAACATGAGCGCGACATACAGAGGACAGCATGATGAACAGGGTTCCCTGGGCATCTGAGAAAATTGTCCAGGGCCAGAGAAGCCAAGGCCAGAGCAGTGAATCATCCATCGTTACTGCAGGCCCCCTCCCCTGTGGACAGGACCTTTAGGCCTGCAGGTTGTCTGAGAGCACAGCCTTTGCAAAATACAGGGCTATGTCCATGGCAGGAGGGCACGGGGGGTGGGGTGGCATACCATCCATGTTCCTCCGCAGATAGAATGGCAATGCTGTAAAGTTGGCATCAAAAAGGTGTGAATCAGGGCCTCCTTTGGAAGGAAAGTGCCTCCGCTCTGACTGTTCTGCTTTGCTAATCAAGTCATAAGAGGCTTTAAGGCACTGCCTTCCTGGGGTGCTATAATAGCAGATAATGAATATTTAGCTAGATTTTTACAGTTTAATATCCAAGATGGCTGGCAGGCAATAACTCTGAACAGGCACAGTTTCATTTTTCAGGGTTATTTTTTCTTAATTTTTTTCCCTGCAGGCACCAATGTGGTTAGAGAATCTGTTTTAAGCGAATGCAATAAAATCTTCTTAGAATATCCTAGTGATGCAATTAACAGATTTAGCTCTCAAATTTCCATGAATGCACTGTATAATTTTAATATCTATTGACTGGGGCCTGAGTAAATAACTCGGTGACTTCTCAGACTACCTCTTTACAGCTTCTTGGATAAAATGTCAAAAAGCATTTTAACATGAATGTTGCTCACTTGATGATAGTAAGTTCGAGTAGCTGATTTGCCTGCAGGAAAAAGCCAGCACAGATAAAACTCTAGAAAGTAACCTTCCAGGTACCCTCAAACACAACAAACTTCCATGGAGCTGCTTTGCACATTCAAGCCTGGCCAACATCTGCATCAGAAGGTGGTGGCAGAATACTAAGATATATTGTTTTAGAAAACAGGTAGCAAATACCATTTAAAAATAGATATTTCCGGGGGGGGACACCCCCAAACCCTGCAAGGAGAAATTTTCATCATATATTCCCTCTAATACATCTGGAACCAATCTGTGTAAAACTGTCATCATCTGCCATGTGGGGGCAGATCCACCCCATATCTTTAAAGCACTTTCAATATTCAAAGTGTGTGACTTCCCCAAACTAAACCTTGGCGCTGTAGTTTGTTAAGAGTGCCAGAAATTGCAGCTTTGTGAGGAGAAAACTACAGTTCCCAGGATTTAGAGAGGAAGTCATGTACTTTAAGTGTATGTTGAATGTGCTTTAAACAAATGCTCTGGATCTGCCCCCTGCTCACGGTTGCAATAGGGTCATACGAGCTAATATATCTGTTCTTCTTCCTAGGTTGCAAACTTGCTCCGGCTTTTCCAGATTCCTCAGATCAGCTACGCCTCGACCAGTGCCAAGCTGAGTGACAAGTCTCGCTATGACTACTTTGCACGGACGGTGCCGCCTGACTTCTACCAAGCCAAAGCAATGGCTGAGATCCTACGGTTCTTTAACTGGACTTACGTGTCAACGGTCGCTTCTGAAGGAGACTATGGTGAAACAGGCATTGAAGCATTTGAGCAAGAGGCACGCCTCCGAAATATATGCATTGCCACTTCCGAGAAGGTTGGTCGCTCCAATATTCGGAAGTCCTATGACAGCGTTATCAGAGAGCTGCTCCAGAAACCCAATGCCAAGGTGGTCGTCCTCTTCATGCGCAGTGATGACTCCCGGGAGCTGATTGCTGCAGCCAACCGATTCAACGTTTCCTTCACATGGGTTGCCAGTGATGGGTGGGGGGCACAGGAAAGCGTTGTGAAGGGCAATGAGCATGTTGCCTATGGCGCAATAACTCTCGAGCTTGCTTCTCATCCCGTTAAAGAATTCGATCGATACTTCCAAAGCCTCACCCCTTACACTAACCATCGCAACCCCTGGTTCAAGGACTTTTGGGAGCAGAAATTTCAGTGTAGCCTTCAGAACAGGAAACCCCACAGAAAAACGTGTGACAAACATTTATCTATCAACAGTTCCAACTACGAACAAGAGTCTAAGATCATGTTTGTGGTGAACGCGGTATATGCAATGGCGCATGCCCTGCACAAAATGCAACGGACCATGTGTCCAAACACAACCAAACTCTGTGATGCCATGAAGCATTTGGATGGCAAGAAGCTCTACAAAGACTACCTACTGAAAGTCAACTTTACAGGTAAAACGATTAACAACACTCCTCTGATGAGGGGACTACAAAAATGTTGCTGGAACGGGAAAGCATCTGACCCTGGCATTGATGCTTGTAGTAAAGGAAGATGGGTGGAAGGGAAGCTGGGGATTTATCCTGCACTCAGATTTCGATCTGAATGGGATCAGATGTTCAGGAAAAGTGAAAACACTCCCCTCTTTTTTGGGGGGGGGGTAGGGGTTTTAGGGACCTTGCCACGGTTCATTTCTGAGCCTGGTTTGGAAAAACATTGTCACCATCTCTATTCTAGAGTGGTTTGTGGTTCAGTAAAAATAGCTTGTATGGCAATAAATGGGCGTACCCCAGCCACCTTACGCCCTGAGCTTCTCTACATCACAGTCAGTTGCCAAATCCAAGGAGATGTCCATTTTTACCCTCAAGCATCCCAATACACATCCAGGGGTGGGTCATTAACCTTACAGGACATATTTAATATGATATTTAATGTGATATTTAATTATGAAAATTGGTTGTGACAAAAAAAGTTGATATATTATTTAATGTTTTTTAACCATGGATTGAATGAGGAGCCACTGTAGATGAGGCCCATTCTCATGTTGCCACCCTCTCATGGAGGAGGCACAAAGAACCACTGTGATGCCCCCTCCCCAGCTCCTCTTTTCCCAGGCACATCCTATGCCCCCAACAGTGCAGTGAATGCGTCTGTTTGTTGTAGCTTGTTTTTACTATTCTGCCCACAAATACTGTAGCTAAGGTATTTCTGTCCAGTGTCTCACTAGGGAGCAATTTTTTTGTCCTAGCAAATGAGAGCATGAATCATTCAACAAAACAGCCTGCATAATAAGGAGATTGAGGTGTTGGATTAACTAGCTTTGATAATTTATTATAGATCATTTTTGCCATTTGATTTGGACTTGCTAGGTAATCAATATTTCACAGCACAGGGCAGTCTTCAGGGCAGTCTGCAATGATGAGATCTATTGATCTGACATGTTGACAACATTGGACACTATCTGCAGCTTTGGCTATGAATTGGCTGTAGTTGTGACAGTGATCTAACCCTGTGCCTTCTTATCCGTACACAAGTTCCACTGATTTTGAAGACACACATGCAGGAGTGAAAGTGCACAGGAAAACAAGTTTGTATGTTACATTTCTATGCAATAACAATGATTAAAAGAGGCTCATTGGATTTTTCACTGGCTATATAATAATAATCCAGTCTTATAAAATATATATCCCCATAGGTCAGGCTTTTAAACATTTACGTACCAGCATTGTATATGACATCTCCAGGCAACCAGGTACTGTACTAAAGTTTTACACAACTTGGCTCTTCTTTTGGCCGCAAATAAATAGCAGAGGTCTGTGTATATGGATGGACTAGTAACTTTGGTAAACCTATTTTCATGGTTCATATTCATCCACTGACAGTCAATACATACGGCAAGCCTAACAGTTGCTAAGAACCATAAAAATAAGCCTTAATAACCTATACCTAACTGCCTTTCATCCTAAAACCAAGAGATGGCGTACACCTTTATGAATGGACAACAGCCGGCCAATGAAAATCTTTGACCAGCAATATGTTTGAATGTAGACAAATTAGACAAATTCACAGAATCATAGAATTGTAGTACTTGACCGCGATTTGATGCCTGTCCACAAAAAGTGCATGCCCAAACAATTGACGATTGGTTACAAGGTAATGTCACCGCTGGAGAACGAAGAAGAAGCATGTTCTGGATTTGTTCAGCCTTTTAGAATTGGACTGTGACAAGTGGGAGCCCTGAAGCAGACCCCCAGCCCCTCGCAGGAACGTACCTGGTTAGGTCTCCAGCCAGCCTGAAACAAACCCTTGCTGGGGACTTACATGGGTGGGGGGAGGTTTGAGGCTGGGTGGGGGGAATACACATTTTCCCTTTGTTCGCCCCTGAAACCTCCTCATATAATCAGGAGGATTTTTTAAAAAACTCAAGATGTGTGTCTGTGAACCTTACCTCCAGGCATACTTACTGTAAACAGCTCAGGCAGGCCCAGCCCCACCTCCTTGGGCTCCTGGTCAGGCTGTTTAAGCAGCATTAGGAGAAGGAAGGAGAAAAACCTTGTCTGTCTAGTGAAATAGCAAGCAGGTCCTGACATCCCACTGCAAACTAACTTGACCAAGAAGCAAGAACCCAGGATGGATGGGTATGTGGTCAGTGGTCGGCATAAGCTGTGTTTCCCTCTGTACCAGTCATGCACTCCTTTTTGGTGTCTTTTATTTTAATGATTGGCTTAAAAGCATTTCTCACCTGCCTGACATCTGAAGCAACTGATGGATGATGCTTCATGTATGGCATAAGCAAATAGCTCTCCTGCACTTCTGTGGAGCAGTAAAGCAGATGCACTTGAGAACACCTTGCAGAAAGGTGCACCTCCCCACATGACCTGAGTGGCACAGCCCACACTGACAGAGGTGGGTGGGTGCAATGGGCCGCTGTAAACAGAGCACACTGACCTGCCCACTGCCAGTGGCTCAAATATAGTGTCACGCTAGGAATAGAGTTTGAAACTTAAAAGCTCATTCAGCCATGGAGCTCAGGGAAGGACTTTGCTCCAGTAGCTTTCTCTTTGCCCAGCCTACTTCACAGCGTTTCTGGGAGGACAGAGGGGGGGGTACAACCATGCACACCACATCATCATCATCATTATTTTAATGGATTGCAACCAAGACTTGTCAGAGGCTTGACACGGCTAGAGCTCTTCCCTTCTCGGCCTGCTCAAGCGAAAGAGAGGAGCTGGGCTGGAGGGAGAACAACCACAGAAGCAGCACGGATTGGGAAAGTAAAGCACTGCATCAATAGGAACTGCCAGGGAACTCTTTCTGGGTTACAATGACCCAGGGGTGAGCCAGGAAAGTGAACTCCTTACAAGAGCAGCTCTTGAGGGATGAGTAAGCGAGAATGAGATCAGGCCAGAAACACAAGAAAGTACTCAGTGAGGATGAGTCTCAGCCCCCCCTACACTAGACTCACTAAGATCTCTCTGAAGGAAAGAAGAGGTTTTCGGGCTTTGGGGGCCTACGAGTTGGTGACTCTTATCTAGAGGGTGATTTCAGAACAAGATGTATGTATGTAATTCACTCCATTTTCTGTTACTGGGTGACAACCATACTTGAAATATCTCAGTGTCAAGGTGTTCCAAGTGCCAAGCACTGTGCAAATACCTGAGAGTGTTGGAATGGCATTGCTTAGTTGCAGCACACAAGGTGAACAGTGGTGTGGCACTGTAAGCTGCATTACATCATTTCCCCATCCACCGATCATTATTTCCAGTGACTGAGTCACTTTCGCATTCTTCCCGTTTCTCCATTCTGTAGAAGAATCAGGTGAGAGAGGAAACAAAGCTGACACACAAACCTCACAGGCGCAGAGAGCATGACTGAATATTTTAGAGCTGTGAAAGAGAACACCACCTTGCCATCTGTGTCGGAAGAGTGGAGTACAGATGGACAAGACTGGCAGGCAGAGGATTGTACGGCAATTATTCTTCCTCTGCTGTCTCACCTGTCAACATGCAACAGCTGAGTCTTCTGTTTCAAAAGCTTCTCAGTGAATCTTGATCTGGGGCTGTGAGGAAAGCTTGCAGAGGTTGCATCGAGTTCCCTGGCTAGTGCCATGCCTCATTTCTAAACAAAATACCCCCTTCCCACACAGAGAGACAAAAGAGAGAGAGAAAGAAAGAATCCGCTATCCTCCAACAGCTCGCAGATCTACCTGTCCTTTCTCATCCTGACTGCTTCACTGCAAACTGACATCTGCGTTTGTTTTCATGACATTTCCATGGATTTCAGTGGAGCTGCTGGTTGTCTCTTGATTTATATAGCTAGATTTAAAAATAGCACCAAAGGCATTTGCAGTTATTTATCTTTGTAAATCAGTCAACAGAAGAGATTGTTAGCTTCGTCTGGGATGCTAAAATCCTCAGCTTCATTGAGACATCTTTTTATTTAAAGCTGGTCACTGATCAATTAACTGATTAAAAGCAAAATGACGTTTAAACACTCTAGAAAATTCTAGAAAGCTTTAGTCCAGTTCCAGACAACTGTACAAACAAGTAATCATTTCAGTACCATATAACAATTTAAAATACAGTAGAAAACTAAAGTGACAAATTTCAGTGCAAATGGCCACCAGCCATGAAAAATGTCCCTACAATCATCATCATCATCATCACCGTCATCATTTCTATATCTTGATGGCCTTCATCTGGTAGTCACAGGGCAATATAAAAGAATGAATGAAGAAAGAAAATAAATACTGCATGATCTTAAGACATACTAAAAAGCATGCAGTGGACTCAGTCATCTCACATTCACGGTCATATATGTACTCACTGTTTCAATTTCTCAGCTTCTCCCCTAAGTCTGACTGAATAATAGGTACCTTCCAATGGCAACAAGATGGTGATAATGAAAGGGTAGATCACAGTCCCACAACTGGCAAAGTGTGGTGGAAAAGGCCCTACAGACACAAACATAGCACACCATTAGGTGCTACACTGCCAGGAGAAGGTGTGCTTTGGGCTAGGCATTTCTACTCATGAGCAGGGATAAGAGAGAAATTTGGCTTTCCAAAACTATCTGCGATCCTGAATTTACACTTCTCTACATTTTGTGATGCAGTTCTCCTACCAAAACATGTGTACAAAAATATGCATATCAGGGGAATGTGTGCATAAGAATCCACATATTAGTAATATGACATAGTAAAGTGCATTATATTAGGCCAACTTGCATACAAAGTTTAGACGAATGCACACTAAAAGGCTGATGAACTTTTGAGAGGGTTAAAAAAAATCTGATGCAAAAATGTAGCAAAACTAAATTCACAGACCTGCCCATCCTTATTCATGAATAATCCCTTTAGAAACAAGGCTCAATGTGAGTAAAGTATCTCAGAAGGCAGTAAATACTGAACTAAATTTACCTGCTGCAACTCTTTAAAAAAAATCAAGAACTTATT